CAGTCGCTTTACGTATATATCCCCGTGCATTGATTTTTACCGTACGCCAAGCGATGAACGCGAGAGAGTAAAAAGTCCGCGATATCAAATCATATTACGAGGCAACAAGCTTTCACGTCGCTTCAAACTCGATGATCGTTAGGCGCATCGATGGGGTTGCGGAGAGGTCTCGGGACAATCCAGGGTAACTTAAGAAGATACGTTCGGGACAATAACCGTTAAAGTTCTACGTGAACTATCCTGAGAATTGCTGGCTCACCGTCTTAGCCTACAGGGTATTATCGATACTTTCTATAGGTATCTATCGACGTTAATTAACGAAAGTGACCTGCGAAGTACAAGTCGACAGATGTGGAACGTTTTCACAATTTACGGCATGGCACCATAGAATACATGCAAGGATGTAGCATGTAATGTATGGCACATATAAAAGATAAATGCGTTATTATTTTATAGATAGCAAGTGAATTTATGACTCATATATAGCTTGAGTTATAATATTTTCTTACATGTTATAGCAAAACAAAGAGTTATTTAAAAGTTTAATCATTAAACGAATAAAAAATTTTTCCTGTTTATTAAAGAGAAAATATATTTATTTTCAAATGCGTAATTTCGTATCGTAGAGATATAAAATGCGCTTAGCTGACATATTTGCCAGAGTGAATGTAAAAATTTGATATCTTCCGGTAAGAGAATTTTTAAAACGATGAGTTAAACTGAAATGTTTATGAAATATACACTTTTACTGATACCACGCAACCGCTAACCTATCTAAATAAATCTATAGCCTCTCTCTCTTTCTCTCTTTCTCACTCTCTCTCTCCTTCGCTTTTTTTTCTCATACCGTTTGCTAGAAAAATAGGGTAAATGCATTTATTCAATGAACAGTCGTTTTATACAGGAAATTAATCATTATATTGTATTTCTGTTTACTTCACTCTACAGATTTAAATAAATAAATTATAATACATATATATATATATATATATGTATTATACATCGATTTTTGCAGACTAAAAATAATGAAAATAAAAATATATAAAAATTATACGAACGTGCGATCATCGGAAAAATAGAATTTTAGTTAAACCGATTGAATATGAAGAAATTATACATCACATAACGAAACCTGTAGAGATACAAATGACCGCTCGGCGCAACGAGGGAAAGAACCAGGTTCGCTACGTTACGCTCGCTGAATACGTACATACACGTACGTGTAAAAATAACTCGGCTCTCGGAGCCGAGCACGCTGCGCGCCGATATGATTTCGCGCGAATGAAGTCGGACGATTTCAGCCATCCTATGAACTACGGCAATTGCGACTAAATTATGCCATTCGACATCCCGGAATGAAGGAGGAAGAAAAACGCGCGTTCCTCGTTCCATTCCCACGATCGCAGATGCGAGATAACTTTTCTTCGCTCGTCGTATCTTCCGCGCTGATCCCAACGACGAATGGGGTCATCCTCTAAGTTTTTCGAGTTCGACCATCGAGCTTGCACAGTTAAGAGACAAAGAAAAAGAGATAGAAAGAGAGGGGGAGAGAAAGTCTAGCGAATTTCACGGTGTTCTGCGCGAACTGGTACTCTCTTTTCACGCCCTCCTTTGAATGTATACAGCACCTTGATAATTATCGCATGCCGTTGAAATGAATGAATAATTTGAATGGACAGATAAATTAATCGTCGCATCAACAAATTTATCTCTCCACAAATAATTTTTCTCTTCTTACCGCGAGTAAGAAATCATTAATTTTACTCATTTACTCTGAAAAATATCAATGTGAATTTAACACCATGCGATGTCTATTATACATATATAATTCTCGTGTTGATGTTAATATTAATATGGTATAGATTTAACACCATGAATTTTAAATCCATGTCATAATATTTTTGATATAAACACCAGGGATTTTAAATCCACACCATGATGATATTAATATTAACATAATGAGAATTATACAGGGTGTTCAAAAAGTCCCGGACCCCTTTAAATATCTTGAAAAGTAAATATTTCTGAGAAAAATGTTTCATACAAAAGTTGTATAGTTTAAAATATAGACTGACTATATACTGTATAGACAATGCATACACTGTAAAAAGAAATGTATTTTATTCTTGTCTCTATTTTTTAAACACTTAAAAATGTTAGTTTTAAACTTTTTCAATAGACAAAACACTACGTGTTTGGATTTAAAACGCATAGTGTTCTTTAAGTGTTTAAAAAATGGAGTCAAGAATAAAACATTTTAATATCTTAAAATTAAACACTTCTTTTTTCAGTGTAGTGTTAAATCCACACCGATATTTTTTTAGAGTGTTTGAATTTTTTCATAGATTATAAAAGAATATCGCGATCAAATCGATGTTGTGTGAATACCAAAGCGTTTTTTCTTTCTCGAGTCGCTTTAATACGTCCTCCACCAATCAAACGAAAAGTGAGGAAAACATTATTAGCATTAACTGCGGAATTTCCATTGAGTATATTATTTCTATTCTAACGCGCGAGTGAAGTAGAAAGAAAAAGTCATAGAATGGGAGCCAAACGATGAGAAAAATAGAGCGTTACATATATCCAAATTGGTACATGTTCCATTATAAAATTTCGAACGGCAGTGATGGCAAATATTCCAGAGCAAATTAATACGGTTTGCGACGTGCACGTCGCGATATGTTATAAAAAAGAGAGAAAGAGAGAGAGAGAAAAGAGATAGAGTGAAAGTAGGAAGAGAAAGAGGGAGAATGTGATTGAGATTACCTGCTATATTGAAAAATCCGGATATCCGTAACTCTGTAGCGCAATGCGGAGTATCCACAAATCCGACAAATCCCAATTTCATCCGCACCATGGACGAATATTCCCGGAGTCGAAATTTCAGCTCTACCGGATTTTGTAAAACAACATTTCCGCCAAGGTTGACGCAACCGCGCTTATCATCACATCACGTGTAATATCTAATCAAGGAAATTCCGAAAAAAGATAGAGAAAATGATTACACTCGGTACTCTCATCAAAAAACATGAAAGAAATAAAACGGGAGAAGTTGAACTATTAAAAAGAATATCGTACACGTGTATTGCGTTTTATACGAACATTGCGATAAAAGCAGCTGGGTAGACTCTGATCCAGAGTTTTTCACTTTGCTTGCACTCCGTTAAATTAATTTGCGCACAAACCATGGTTAAAACGCATCAGCCATAAAACACACGCACGCACACACATCATGATTTATTTCTAAGAAAAATGTATATTATTTTAGTACACCGAGTTTTGATTTATTCAAAGAAAAATCTATGTTTTATATGAATTATTTCAAAACATAACTGAAAATAAGAGATTTGAAAATTTCACCAAAAATTTTGGGATTATTTATTTTTTTTCTTATCAATTTACTTTTATTTCAACTTCACGTTGTTCTTAATTCTGGAAAAACTAATTTCCTTTTTATCACTTGAAATTAAGAAATACGTAAATATTAGAAGAATAAATAAGTATTTAAAGACGTGATTTAATTTGTCTTCAATATTCCATTTGGTACTAGCGATTGAAACCACTACTGATGGAATTCGTCCTCTTGAAATAGAACATCTGACTCAATTCTCATTACTGCAGCTTAATGCAAACAGAATCCATGCTTCCGCATGTCGAAAGTCTTAATTGTTCATAATAATGTCGCGTAACGCATAAGATATAGCATCATGAGATCAATCATACCGCAATCATCCGCGTCGTACATTTCCAGAACGAATTCGTTGTTCTCGAGGGAAGTTCCAGCGATCTGATACGGCGAGAGCTATTATTGCACTCGCAACGGTCAGACCACAAAGGTAGTTAACACGCGCAATACAAATTGCATAATCTAAACGGAGAATTGTGTCATGAAGGAGTTGGGAAAGGGGGAGGAAGGGTCGCAGGAAACGTGACGCGGAGTGGTATAGGGCGAGGGCGAGGACGAAATCTTATCATCGATATCCACCGGGATTTCAAGTGCCAGGTAAACAGACTCGTATTTGAGATTTCCCATGCGGGGTTGACAGAGAGAGGGGGAGGGAGGAAGCACCACAAGAGGGAGAAAGAGAAAGAGGGAAAGAAAGAGAAAGGGGTCAGTTTCGAAGCCAGAGGGAAACGGAAACGGCGAAACGAGTCGAAACTAGAAGGATAGCAATAAAGGAAGACGCCGGAAGCGAAGGAGAAAAGGAAAAAAAGGAAAAGAAGGAAAAGGACAGAGGTACTTGAATGACTCGTGCGTTCCCATGGACGATTCGATACGAATAAAACCAATAGATCCCCTAAAAGATCTTCATTGGATAAACTTTTATCCGCATTATGAGTCGAGACTTCGATTCGCGCGGGACGGAGAATTAACGCATCCCTTCTTTTCATCCTTCGGCCGTCTGCTCGTGAATTACGAGCCTCTCAACTCTTTCCGTCATGCATTAAGAGTACATAATGCGGTTAGCCGGCTTTGTTTTCCCATCTCTGCATCTTCAATCTTCTCGTGCATGCATTTTTAAGCGGTGACCGAGGAAAAACGGCCGGGATATTTCAATTGCGCGCCGGGAAAGCGCGTACCTATATTTTCACGAAACTCTATATTTCACGCACGAAAATCACTGACACGTCAGTTAATTTGTCATACACACCGGCGGAACTTTATTACGGCAGATTTCTCCGGTGATTTGGAGTTTGTCAGATATTCGGCGGAATGCAAATGCGCGGGGGCGCGTTTATGCGACGAATTTTACTGCGTTGTCATGCAGAATTAGAACATTGTCACGTAGTTATACACGTAGTTATTCGCGATGATGCGAACCCCCCCCCCCTCTCCCGCCGCCGCGGTTCCCAGCTTGATGGAATGAATATATTCGTCGTAGACCAGATATTTTAGAAGAATATCTGTATATGTATACACTGGTTCTGCGTGAAATGCCAACAGCCTTGAAATATGCGGTGTGAAATAAAATTCGAGCTTGTTCGATCCGCTCGTATTTTGTTCAGTCCCAATCTCTCTGTCACGCGCTGTCCGAATCCCACAAAATTTCCTCGTGGAACGTCCGCTTCAATGGTGGCGAAAAAATTACGGCGTTAACCGCGAAAGTGTGTCGAGTTAATTTTCGGTACATTTCTCTCCCTCGGGTCTCCGTTAAATGCACTGTTTTTCCGCTCGGGGATCGTTAAAGCAACGCGAGTATAATTTAATAATTAAGCATACCGGAAACGCTTGCTCATCGTTGTGCCGAGGGTTGTGGGAAAAACCGACGGGAACGAGAAGCGAAAAAGAGAGGCGGCGATAAGATGCCTTCGCAAAGAGTTAAATACGCTCAAGCTCATTTATCGTCCACGGAACACATCGCGCTATTAGCGCGTCCTAACTGGAGAAGACTTCGCAGAACTGATCCAAATGTCCTGGTATATACTTACGTCTATTTTCTTCGTTTATTCTTTATTCGGAATAAGGTGAACGTCTTTTAGAGGGAACTTTTATTATCTCCTGTAATATGTACTCGAAGAGATTGGAATACGCTTTCCGATAATATCACTTGCGTTTGCATCTATCGCTCTGGGACTTTATTAAAGGAGAGATCGTGTCTTTTTTTAATGCTAGGACAGCGGTTCTTTTTAAGTAAATTCGGATTTCGCAATTGAGATTGCATGAAATAGGAAGATCAAATGAGACGTCACCTGCTCCAAATATTTAAGGACGTTAAATACAAATTGAGATATCCTCCAACATGAAATCAAACAGTCGTTATGAGAGACAGAAGGTTTTTCCGTGGAAAAACGTTCAGTTGAAAACGATCGATGAAGCAGATGCTCGAGCGGCGTTCGCGTGCGCTAAAGGGGTCTTTGTGTCTTTTTCTCGGATACTTATATTGACATGTATATATGTACTTTCAGGCGCGTCCATTTACAGTACGGCGCGCGATTCTCAGGAGCCGCGCCTCGAGGCGCATCCGGGTTATGGCGCAACCGAAATTCGTAACCAAGAAATACGATCCCGCGTAAGTGCACAGTCGTCCGCTCTTGTACTCGTCAGGTTATCGCGAGTCCTCTAGAAAATTTATTATCGCGCAGAGCGGCGCCGCCCCCTTACCCGCGCATTCACCCGAAGACGCTCGCAGCGAAGAGTAGCAAGCGTATCGTCGATCTGGCATTGCCCAAGAGAAGGTGCACATCTATTTCCTCGACGCTGAAGACGGTCTCGATAAGGAACTTTAGTTAAAAATAAATCTTAAACTAATATTATTAGAGATCCCAAAAGGCTCGAAAACATACAAATATTAATTTTATCATACTCGTATATTTTATTATTTTCATTTTTAGGTAAAGTTGTTTAAGAATCAAAATATAAAAAGATTATTCTTGCGGTTTTAACGTCACTCGCACTTTCGATAATGTCAGAAAATTGATAGCTAAGACTTGATCGATGATATATGTATGTGTGATAACTTAAAAGCGGTATACCGTAAACGTTAGACTTCTGGTGGAGACGATGAAATTGGCAGCTACCAAAAACATGAAGGCAACCGTGAACGATCTGCTGGTGAAGGTTCGAAAGTCACGGTACCAGCGGTATCGTGTATTCTGCAACGCGCGTCAAGAGCGAGAAGCTAGGAAAAAGTAAGGCCGATACATTTCCCACTATCATGTCACTTTTTCCCTGCGAACGACACGCGCATCTAGGCACACAATCTCTCCATATTCGTACGAGCACATTGCAATCTCCAACGGTGAACGAGAGGGATACAGGAAAAAATGGCTATTTTAATCTCCGTGGAAATTGCATGATCAAATAATCGAGTTGTCATATCAAAGTTCCTTTTTCAGTCTCTTTTTCTTCCCTTCTTTTTATTATACTTTAATTACGGGAGTGCTGTGAAATTTAATAAAATGAAACCCGGATGTAAACTACGGCAAAATAAATAATTCAACTATATATATGAACGAGAATTAATTACTTATTGAATAATTAGCTTGATTTTATAAAGGCACAACAATACCGGTGGGCAAGTAACAAAACGTAAGCTTATAAACCCTCTCCTGTATTGATCGTATTGCAACTGGATGCAAATTTTACGTTTAATTAACGAAAGGTCATCTGATATTGCATCGGAAGTGATTATTAATAGTGCACAATGAAATTCGAGAGATTATCCTGGACATTTATTGCAATGGTTACAATCATTGATCACGTTACAATCAGAAACATCAATTTAATAGTTCTCTACGATAGACCGCGATATATATAGGACATTCCACTACAATCCGCGCCACAATTACCGCCACATTTTTCATCCTTATAGATTCTTTAATTTTCCATTAGTGGCTAACGATTCTATCAAAATCATATCGGAAATATCTTTATCACGTTCAAAGAGTTTGAAATTATTTAACTGTTAGAAGAAATGTAAGAATTTTTTTTTTTTATTATTGCCAGCAGTTGATATGAATTTATGATAGTTATTATCATCTTCGTAATTGTATAACCAACATGAATTGATAAACCGCGATGCTGCTAATAACGCAAGTTTTCTTAAGCCACTAATGGAACGTTAATTAATCTCTGGTTTATTTTTTTCTCAGTAAAGCAAACCCAAAGTCTTTAAACCCAAATTTCCGCGATAAAATGCCCCGCTTTCATACCTAGGAGAAAACGAATGGCGAAACTACGCAGAGCTCTCACAAAACCAGAAGACTGGCAAAGGCACATGCGGGTCCTGGAAAGACTAGCTGCGCCCAAAGTCGCCGCAAGACCGAAAAGGAGGAAACCCGTAAGCGACGTCGTTTCCGCTCTCTCATAAATCAATATTAATCGATCTAGATAAAAATGTTCGATGCGTCGCGAATTCTGGTGACGAGGCCGCCCGTTCACTCGCTCGATCGATCGCACATTATCCGATATTTTCAGAGTAAGAAGAGGAAGTGGAGGCCGATCGATATGGAGCGAGTGTACTTCTTGGCGTTACCAATGGTTCGACATAAGCCCATGCTGAGAGATCCATTCGAGGTGTCTGAGCGTGCACTCACCTATCGTATGACCAAGCGAATAGAGAAACTTGCGACTCGAAAGAAACGTCCGGAGGTTTCATTCCGAATACCAGGCGCCGTTTCGCCGGCCGCGACGAAAGCTAGAGGTAGTAACACGCACCTCGCCACTACATTTACGACCGTTACCATTTGCTTCGCCGTTGCAATCCTTCCGCTTCGATTTCTTCGCTCGATATGCGAAGGAATCGTGGCCATCGATCCGAAGGAAGCGACGTTTTCGTTGTCGCCTATGTAGATTCTACCGCTCACCAATACTATTACACGTGCTATTGGATGTCGTAAGTAAGCTCATACGCAGGGTGTCCCAGCGGACATCTTCCCGTCGAGATTCAACGCGAGCCCTGGCTGCATTTTTCCCTGACGAGCGTTTCATGAGAAAAGTCACGTTATTTGTTAGGAATTTTTAAATATAAATTTCAACGGAAATACTTGAGCTGAAAATCGAGCGTTGAATTAAAATACCGTTGTATTTATGTCTCATTAAAATTAACTGAAGAGCAAATCTTTGCATTTATGATATGGAAAAGCGATCGTATTTTTTAAATATCAAATTAAATATTAAATATCAAAAATTGTATAAAATTCTCAATGTTTAAATTAATGTAACTGTTATTTTTTTTTTCATTTATTTTCTACTATTCGTGTCGCGCATCGATATCGTATCTCTGTGATTTTGGGACACCCTGCGTAGCAGATCCGTGATTTCGTCGGCCTTACACCTCGCTACATCACGAAAGATTACGGATTTGCTCGTCGGTGGTTACGACTGTTCAATAGCTTGTGCGGTAAATCGAGCTTTGGCAAAAATTTTTACGTATTGCAGAATAAAAATAAAACTGGCTATATATTTTTAACAATCGTAAAACAAACGTATACCTTTCGGCATCCAGCATCGATGAAAAATAAATCTCGACCGAATTACGGTTTTGGCAACGTCGACGAGTAAAAATGTTTTTTATATAGGATCGTTAATTGATTTGGAGATTCGGTAAAAATTTACGGAATTAATGGAATTTCCCGTATACGGCATACACACCGCCCGCGCCGCCGGTAATCGATCGACATCGAATACTCCACTATTAGTTTAGGGTATCACTGAATTCGTGATATAATGCAGAATTCGCGTTATCTTTCCGTTCAACCATAACTGCGAGGTAACGATTTTGTAGCATTTGATATGGACACAGGAGAGATAAACGGGACACGATCTACACATTAAGCCCGCGGCACACTAAACGTGTTTTGTTACCGATCTGCTAGCGATGCCGCACTTGCCGCACGATGCTTACCGTACTGCTCGATGCAGACTATCCTGCCTGCAGCGTTTATTCCATACCATAATGTTAGTGGCACTCTCTCCGGTATTGTAATTATTTAATGAGGACGTCGCTCGCAGTGACATCGTCGTTTGTTTTCCGATGCTATCTCTCGCTCGATAATTCTTCTTCGTCACTTACGCATTTATGTGCACAATTTTTGTTTAGGTATGTGTGCCTCTGTTATACATTCTATCACATATTTTTATATAACTTTTATTTATATCAGTATTTTATTTTATTAACTATTCACACTGGATTTTTCACGTGGAATTTTTATTTTTTTCTACATTGGATGTTTGTTACATTTTTATTATCGTCGTATATTTTCATTTGTTTTCTTTCATTTATATGTTGATCTTTCGCTGCTTTAGCTACATTCTATCCCGAGAGAAAGAACTCAAATCTCAAGATTACATAATAAATGACGTCTATCCATCTGTCTTTCGTACAATTCGGTTATTTCGGTTTTCGCTTCGTCTACGTATATCATGTCCTATCGCGCACGGTTACTCGGCCGCGTCTGATTAAACGATGTCTTCTTCCACTATCGATCGATACGGTCAACTGTACGACAGTAGATTAATTTTCCTTTGAGCCATCGTCACGGTACAGGGGCGCGGCAGAAATATAAACAAACGGAATTAAAGAATTCCAAAGTCGATTTAAATCTATATCGAAAAGTCAGCCAAAGTGCTCCCTTCCCTCTCTCTATCCCCCTCCTTCCTTCATCTCTCTTTCCTCTTAGAAGCCTCGATCACTTCACTCGCTGTCCGTCGCATCCAACTTTCTCTACAACATATTCCTGAGGAGATGCCTCCTCAAGTTTCTCTTCGGGCTGTCGTCGGGCGTAACCGACGTTCCTCGTCGCTGACGTGGAATTTAATTTCGCGCGCGAGACGTTGCTTGATACAAAACGTGCAAGTGCATCGAGCCTTTCGGCGATAATGGGAAATGCGTGCACAAACCGTCCCCGGAAAATAGCCGGCTGGTTTTAATTTTCACGTATAATTGCACGCGACGAGTCAGCCGACGCGTAACATTTTTCCATTGAAATCCGTCTGTAATAAAATACGAGATGCGGCAGCATAGTAGAACGATCGCGCGCAACTTTTACAATATATCTCACGCGCGCTCTGCGGCGTCCATGAAGTAAAAGACGTAAATCAAAATATACATTTTACCTTCACGAGAAGCGAAGGAAGATTAAAATATTAAATATTAAACAAATTTTTTAGCCTAGTTAATATTTTGAAAAAAATTTTCCACCTGCGGTCTTCTTTCCACCTCAATTTTGACAGATAACTCTAGCTAGATTTAAAAAAATACGAATCCATTGTGATGATTTGAATATGAAATTCAAATCATTTTGTTAAAATATTTTGAATCGAGATAATTTCAATGTAAATTAACGTGACATTTTCCCTTTCTCTCTCAAAGCCTTTTATATCATTAGAAATTTATTTATTTATGAACGTTTGTAATTGTAATTGACACTGGCATAAACGCACTGCGTGCGTTTAGAAATTTAATCCATATTGCTCTTGTACACGCATAGTCATGTAACAAAGCTGCTAACCAACTAATTAAACAAATATCACACACCTGTGGTTTATGTATACAAAATGGAATTCAAGCGGGATTATGGTTGCCATTAGAGTACCACAGGAAATAATTTATTTCATATTCATTCGTTTGTGGAACAGTTAGTTTTACTTGGTAGCCTTAATCCCGTTGATAAGAATAAGCCGACGGAAAACCGATGTTAATGGATAGGATTGAGACCATATAGCGTAAGGTATAACATTTAATGCCGTAGCTTCCGAGAGAGTAATCGCTTTGGCGAAACCCGCCCAACGTCCAGCGGGTAGGGAAACGGATCTCCGAGAGGATGCCTTCACCGTGTCGCCGATGGCGTTAAAGGCGAGATGCTCCAAGCGTCTCAAAAGTCTCGCCAAACCGAAGACCTATCCGAAACCCGTATTCAAGAGAATGATAACTGCACTCAAACGATGAAGCAGCCAATGGGCGTTGGAGAACTGTATAGATATACAACAAAACAACCGGCGTTAATTCTCGGTCTTATCTAGCGAATGCAGAATACGCTCATTAAAAATTCAACGTATTTGTCCTAGTATCCGTGTACGCTCGTAATTTCGCAAGTAATAGCAGAATCACATGAATTACGTAATTTTCCTGGGAAAATGTATATACTGTAACTGTGTAATAAACGGCAGCGTTTGGAAAACAGAAAGCATGACGATCATTCATAGTAGAAATCTAATAACTCGAATACCACGGTAACCCGAATACCCATGCGTTTTCGTTTAATGGAATTCCGGTTGTTATACGGGGCTTGGGGTCGCGTTGAATATTACCAGAATGATAATCTTGTGCACGAGATAATCGGTGCACACCTATTATTATTAGCGCGCTTTTGCATAGTTTGATATATTCGCGGGACACGCGGATGTATTATATATATATATATATATATATGTGTGTTATACATCGAGAAATACAGGGTTATTTCGCAAACGCTACGATTCGTCATGCGATCCTGTGCACGCAATATATCAAAAAGCAGAGTCGGGCCTGTCGCGTTGCATTATGCGAGCGTCGGCGGCAAAAGCGCGAGACATAACCGTGTCCGTCGACGTCGTAAATTAGGCCAGCTGCTCGCAATCCGCTCGTGCTCTCGGAACGGATTAGCGTTTCGTATAATGTTGCAACGACCATCCTGTTTGTCGCGTAACTTCGTAAAGACATTCCGAACTCCGTGATATCCTTAGAGTAAGAAAAGACGAGAGCGTGGGACACGAAATAACGCGCGCTGGACTTTCAACTCGTTCTTGGTATTTTCTTATTTTGCGGAAGGAATGTACGAGAAATACGACACATGCCCTTAACGCCCGGATGTATTAAAGGGACGTTTATACGGCGAGGGAGAGCATATCCAAAGTTTTGCGCCGGAGAAATGGCTACGTTTCCTCCCGTACATACCTTTTATACATACATGTGCGATAAATAATGAATAAAAAAGATGAATAATAAATTAACCATGATGTAATCCGTAATATCTGTTTAATGATCTGTAATAATTAGTTGTATTCAAATTGACGTTGCATTATTTCGACAATATGCACGCATGGCTTGTTGCGGTTCATACGATTCTTGATCAATTATTCAAGCAGAAATAGTACAATCCGCATAATTATCAACCTGCCTAATTAATGGCATCGAATTATTCGTAATTTGCTCGAAGGCCCGAGTTCCTCTTTGTGTGCCCCCTTCCGATATTTTATTTTACTTCACTCGCCGTCATGCTCATTTTATACGTCCGGTGATACCCCTGCTCTTCCATCCTAAATGATAGAGACATTACCATTCGACGTTGTGAAATTGCTTAATTAAAGGCACGTCGTACGCGCTTTTACCTCCATCGAGAAGTTAAAGGGGTACGGATGGTCTTTGAATTCCTAGTCGCAAGCAATTTTTCTTCACCGTTACGTCCGACACTTTCCTAATTAACGTCTCGTCCTCGAGCTAATGGCGGTGTAAGAAGCAAATGGTCACAGTAAGTAAAGAACGCACTCGAGGCAACTTCTAGTCGATGATCGATACTCTCTCCTCTGCCC